ATTAGAAATAGGGGGCTCTTATTAGAAAAATATTTTGGTTAAAAAAAAAACAGAGTTAAAGATGGTAAATTTCGTTGTTTATGCTGACAACCTGAAATGTTTATATACAACAGATATATTTTTCCAGAATTTAGTTGACCATAATTGAGGGTGCATATAACTCACGAGTGCGTATTATACATGAATAAATAAGTCTTGTGTACATTGATCAATCAGAAGGGGTGCTAATTGGGATTGTTCACTTGCCAATATATGAGCAAATATCGCCATGGGCACTTATTAGAGCGAGGCGCTCATTACGTCAAATACGGTATTTCATTTCAGCCTTCTGTAATAAGTGTTTTCCGTGCTACTCTAGGAGGTCATTTCAGTAGAAGTGTTCCGCAGTCATGATGTGGGAGATGAGTAGAATGATGAACAGTGTTACACGTTTCTTCTTCTTGTCTCATTTCACACCGACTGTGAAGCTGCATCCAAACCAGGAAAAGAATAACTGTTATTGCATCCATAAGTAAGAAGATTCATTGCTTGTGGGTGTGAAGTATTTTCAAAACTTATAGAAGGTGCAAGTTCGCTTAAATCTGCACGAATATGCCACATGAATGGTTATTCCATAAATCCCTTGGCTAAATTCTTGAAGACCAGCCACTGTAACCAATCTACTTCTGAGAATTGGGTTGTGTTTCTGTTTAAATCCCTGTCAGCCAGGCCAGCTCACAACTTACACACCGGTTCCACTTAAATCTTAGCTGACCTTTTGTCAGAAAATCCATATTGTCTGACAATCCGACTGCCTTTCTCCATTTGTATTCATGCCATGTATGACCATAACTCCATGCATAGAAAGGAGGTAAAAATGAAAAAAAACAGATTTGTGGAGACAGTTGGATGAATTTCACCTAGCAACTTCAGCTTCATTGGTGTAGGGTTGTGGTTTTGATGATACCAATCAACATATGGTTATCTTCACTGCAAGAAACGGTTCCAGCTCAGCGCTGCTTGTAATAGAATTACGCAACGCACTGAAATTAATATGATTTGACCCGTACACTTCCTGTCTGTGTCAGCTGTAAATACCCATGAATGAGATGGCTTCATCCTCATGGTGTTAGTTTGTAGTTTAATGTCGCCCTCAGAAATATTCCACTGCTATGTGACAGTGGTCTGTCAATAATCGAGTCTGGAGCAGACAATCCAGTGATTGACATCATGAGAATCGATATATGCAATTGGGATACAATGACATGCATCAACCAAGTCAGTGAGCCTGACCACCCGATCCTGTTAGTTGCCTCTTTGGTAGTTGCTGAAGACCCCTTAGATCTAACCTGGATCTTCACAGGGAACAAGCATGGTTTCCAGCTATGTGAAAGTAGTGTCATTATTAAACTTCTGAGTCTGTCTGAAGCTTATGGAATCAATGAGGATTGAGTGGCCACAATGTTTGACATGCCTAACGATCTTGCTATTGTCTGTTTGGCCAAGTTGTTTAACTTAAGCTTCAGGTTCTGATTATCTAATATCGTTCAATAATGGTCAAATAGCCAATTCCCTTCCACTCATTTACCCACCTGAACTAGAAATAAATATGATCTATGCATGAAAGGCAAGATCAGAGTGACAAAACACTCTCCACGAGACTATTCATGTTATTTCCATCGCTATTTTCCCTTTTATGCGCAATGGAATATGTTTTTATGGCTAATCAAGACTGGTTATTCTCAGGCATTGATGTTTTATATTCAACTTTCCAATAGTTAACTTTCCCTTTATGTAGTGCAATATTCCTGCAGCTCCAGCCTTTGGTGTCTACATTTCAAGTACATTCAAGCGTGTTCAAAAGAGCATCATACGATTCTTGCTCAAAACTTGTTTGTTCAGCGAGAACATTCAGGGCCTCAGTAAAACTTTCAAAAGGTTTAAGGTAGACATGTGGAGGAAATGTCCTAATTGACCCCTAAGTGACATAAATGAAGTATGATGCAATTCCCTATTTTGACCTGTACCACATGTTCCCATGGTTTATCTGGTGACTTGCCTTTGCATGTGTTTGTGATGGGTGCCACCGATGGGGTAGGGTATGCTCACCTTTTTGGGAACACCTGGTACCATCATTATTTGAGATTAATAAACACATGTTCATGATATAGTGGGAATCATACAATAGATTTCTAATGATTATGGAACGGGTTTTTTGCTTTTATTTATTAAATGTCAATCATGTATTGTCCATATTATGACAGGGGAAACCAAACATGGGCTTCACATGTTGTACCCATGTTGGAATTCAAACCTGGGTATTTGTCGTGACGAGCGAACGCTTTAACCACCGTTGAATGCCTCTGAGCCATTGTAAGTGTCACCAGCACTCACTCACTCACTCACTCACTCACTCACTCACTCAAAACCCACTAACTCACTCACTCACTCATACTCCTGCCTCTGAGCCATTCTAAGTGTCACCAGCACTCACTCACTCAAAACCAACTCACTCATCAACTCACTCATTCACTCACTTTTTCAAAACTCACTCATCAACTCACTCGTTCACCTCATCAAAACTCACCCACTCATCAACTCACTCACTCACCCTATCAAAACTCACTCACTCATCCACTCACTGACCCTATCAAAACTCACTCACTCACTTACTCACTCACTCACTTATTCACTCATCAACTCATCAACTCACTCACTCACCCTATCAAAACTCACTCACTCATCCACTCACTGACCCTATCAAAACTCACTCACTCACTTACTCACTCACTCACTTATTCACTCATCAACTCATCAACTCACTCACTCACCCTATCAAGACGGGCACTCACTCACTGCTTTTTGTATGCTAGATGACATCAGGGCTACTCAGAGGAGACAATTGTAGACAACAGGCACATTTCGTTATCTCTTGCCTTCAATCCTGGTTTCATTGGCAGGACTAATGCTATTATGAAGCTACAACTAGTGGTTTATGTGTCCCGGAGATGCTCTGTTACGTCTCTGAGGATCACCAGCCAAGGTTTCTGTTAATGTAATTACACTTCCATGTCCATGCACTCACGTTTCTTAACCTGATATGATGTCAGCATAAATGTTTTACTCTGAAATTCAGCTCTTGATTATTTAGGGCTGTCTTTGTGGTTTCAAGTTACTGAATGCATTCACGGGGCAGCCTTGTGTGTTATGCGGCTGATTTAAGAATCTGTTTGTAATGCAGCTCCTTGAATGAGCAGAGAAATGAATCACTGGCTCATATACAGTAAACTACGGTTATAACGAACACGCTTATAACGAACTGACGGATATAACAAACTTACTTTTTGGTCCCGACTATTTGCTGTTTTTATGCTGTATATATGTTTATAACGAACTACGGTTATAACGAACTAAAATTAGTAGTCCATTTGAGTTCGTTATAACCGTAGTTTACTGTATATGAGGGAATACATTGTGAATTTGCAAAAAAGGTGCACTTCTATCTTGAAAACAACTGTCAACTCTCATTAAATGGCACGTCAAGGGACTGAGCCAAAGTCTTTACTTGTCCTGTTTGCAAACTGTGCTGTTAGGATCGTTGTTGGCACAGATACTGTGAAGTATATTCTGTAGTCACAAATGTACCTGCATACCTTGAGTACCTTTGAGTGTGCAGAAGATACCTGGGGTACCTTGGTTGATGCATGTCATCGATCCCAATTGCGTGGATCGATGCTCATGATATCAATCACTGGATTGTCTGGTCCAGACTCGATTATTTACAGACCACCGTCATATAGCTGGAATATTGCTGAGTACGGCGTTAAACAGCAAACCAACCAACCAACCAACCTGGGGTACATTTTTGTTTTACCTGTGCTGACATTTGCTAGGAGTGAGTGAGTAAGGTTTTACGCCTCTTTTAGCAATATTCCAGCAATATCACGGCAGGTAACACCAGGCTTCACATATTGCACCCTTCGCTCTTCACGCCGAAGACCCGGGTTCGATTCCCGACATGGGTACAATGTGTGAAGCCCATTTCTGGTGTCCCCCGCCGTGATATTGCTGGAATATTGCTAAAAGCGGCGTAAAACCTTACTCACTCACTCACATATTGCACCCATGTGGGGAGTTGAACCCAGGCCTTAGACGTGACGAGCGAATGCTTTAACCACTGGGCCATCACACAGCCCCCAATTGCTAGGAGCTGACACACACCACTGGAGTGTCTGCATAACAATTTTGGATTTGTTTCTTGTTAAATGATATTGTACCTATATGATCTGATTCAGATTCATGCTCTATACTTTCACGATTCTTTTTGTCTGATTAGGATTATCAATAAAGAATTATTGTATATCAGGGAGTTCAATGTTTGATTGAAGAAAATCAACCATTGATACTGTGGACTATGAGTGTTACCTGAATAGAAATAGCAGTCATGTGTAACATGCATTTTGTAGCAGTTTTCATATTTAAAAGTGCTGTCCATTTTTGTGACCCCTGACTCATAATGTTAATTATTTTGTGTCCATTCTGAATTTGTATCCAAGTGGAACAAACTATTTTGTGTCCATTATAACCTGCAATTGACATGGCAGTGTGTGTCGGCGATTGGGGATTCAATGTACAGCCTCAGTATGTTTGTTAAAAGTATGAATTATATGTTCCACAGTAAACAACTGTTTTAGATATTATTGTTTAATGTATCCCACTGCACCAAGTAACTGTGTGTCCATACTTATAATTTAAACAGTTTGAAAGTTGTGTACTCCCCAGGGAGCTGAGAATGATTCTTGTGTGCACATTGATCTAGTCACCGGGGTAGCAATAAGCACTTTGAGCATGCCCCTGTATGGCGTGGAAATATGTGCACTATAAATGGTCTATTATTATTATTATTACTACTACTACTACTACTACTACTACTACTACTACTACTACTACTATAGTACTACTACTACTACTTTTTCTACTTTACCAGATTAACTAAAACATGTTTTTTTTTTCTTTTTCAGAAAATAAATTTGTGTTGGTTGAAGGCCGTGAGGTAAGTAAATGATTACGTCATAAGTCGACCTAGTTGTGACCTTGTTCCCCGAGGTCAATAAGACAGCGCATTGATGCCCGCAAACACTTGGCCTTTAACAGCACCAGGGAATGGTAGCCAATCAGCTCATCCGCTGTAAACAGCTTCCATGAAACTCCACATTTTATATCCTCACTAAACGATTTCACCATCAGCTGTCTCGGCTGTTTCTGTAAATTTTGATCCAAGGTGGAAATTATAAGTTACAAGAGATGAATGTCGACACTGCAATGAGTGTAATTTGAAATTTGACGTTTTCCCTGAGGATTGATGATATTTAGGAGACATTGAGACTGGCAGTGCTTGATGTTTATTGCTCAGCGTTGTTAGAGCAGGAAAACTTTCGGAAGCATTGCATATATGATTGGCAGGTATGCATTAAGATTATGGGGGTCCTTGACGTAACCCTAATGTTAAAAGATGAGATTTATGGGTCCTTAGACTTATGTACTTATAATAGTAGAAAATCACAAGGATGCCAGGGCACTCCTTTATTTTGAACTCCGTCGGTCAATTAACCGTGAAGATCCGGGGTAGAATAGGTCTTCAGCAACCTATGCTTGCCATAAAAGGCGACTGTGCTTGTCGTAAGGGACGACTTAACGAGATCGCATGGTCAGGCTCATCGCTGACTTGGTTCATCCCAATTGTGTGGATCGATGCTCATGATGTCAATCACGGGATTGTCTGGTCCAGACTCGATTATATACAGACCACCGTCATATAGCTGGAATATTGCTGAGTGTGGCATTAAACAACAAACAAACAAACAGTCTGTCAATTTCGTTTGTTTGGTCTCTGAGAATCCTGTGCTTGCTCTTTGGGTTGCCAGATCTTAGTGTATTGAATGAGTAAATGGCAAAATATGTCCCCAGTGCCCCATGCTTGTCTCGCTGTGGGGATAGAGAGGTTATCACGCGAGTGTGTTTGGGGATGGTAAATATCCTGCACTAGGAATAAACATTGTATTTAGCGAGCCTTGGCGAGCTAAATACATAGTGTTTATTCCTAATACAATGAATATGTGTCTGGTGCCCCACGCTTGTCTCCCTGTGAGATATATGAATATGTGTTTAGTGCCCCATGCTTGTCTCCTTGTGAGATATATGAATATGTGTCAAGAGCCCCATGCTTGTCTCCCTATGGGGATATATGAATATGTGTCTGGTGCCCCATGCTTGTTTCCCTGTGGGGATATATGAATATGTGTCTAGTGCCAAATGCTTGTCTCCCTGTGGGATATATGAATATGTGTCTGGTGCCCCATGCTTGTCTCCCTGTGGGGATATATGAATATGTGTCTAGTGCCCCATGCTTGTTTCCCTGTGGGATATATGAATATGTGTCTGGTGCCCCATGCTTGTCTCCCTGTCGGGATATATGAATATGTGTCTAGTGCCAAATGCTTGTCTCCCTGTGGGATATATGAATATGTGTCTGGTGCCCCATGCTTGTCTCCCTGTTGGGATATATGAATATGTGTCTAGTGCCCCATGCTTGTCTCCCTGTGGGGATATATGAATATGTGTCTGGTGCCCCATGCTTGTTTCCCTGTGGGGATATATGAATATGTGTCTAGTGCCAAATGCTTGTCTCCCTGTGGGGATATATGAATATGTGTCTGGTGCCCCATGCTTGTCTCCCTGTGGGGATATATGAATATGTGTCTAGTGCCAAATGCTTGTCTCCCTGTGGGGATATATGAATATGTGTCTGGTGCCCCATACTTGTTTCCCTGTGGGATATATGAATATGTGTCTAGTGCCAAATGCTTGTCTCCCTGTGGGGATATATGAATATGTGTCTAGTGCCCCATGCTTGTCTCCCTATGAGGATATATGAATATGTGTCTGGTGCCCCATGCTTGTCTCGCTGTGGGGATATATGAATATGTGTCTAGTGCCCCATGCTTGTTTCGCTGTGGGATATATGAATGTGTCTAGTGCCCCATGCTTGTCTCGCTGTGGGGATACATGAATATGTGTCTGGTGCCCCATGCTTGTTTCCCTGTGGGATATATGAATATGTGTCTGGTGCCCCATGCTTGTCTTCCTGTGGGATATAGGAATATGTGTCTGGTGCCCCATGCTTGTCTCCCTGTGGGATATATGAATATGTGTCTAGTGCCCAATGCTTGTTTCCCTGTGGGGATATATGAATATGTGTCTGGTGCCAAATGCTTGTTTCCCTGTTGGGATATATGAATGTGTGTCTAGTGCCCAATGCTTGTCTCCCTGTGGGATATATGAATATGAGTCTGGTGCCCCATGCTTGTTTCGCTGTGGAGATTCAGGGCAGAATGAGAAGTGCCCCATGCTTGTCTCCCTATGGCTGACTTAATGGATGAAGAGTGGGTGGTCAAAATGTGTCTCCTCGTGTGTGATCATTCCCCTCCAGCATGCATGACGTTCATGTTAAATTACATGCTGCCATGATATAGCTGGAATATTGCTGACTGCAGCCAAAACTACATCTGTTCTCTTAGTTTAATGTTTCAGCTGTCAGATGATAGCTCATCACTCACTCATCCTACAGATATACTGAATATGCATACATGATTGGTTACCTTTCTGTTTATTTCAGGTTTTATCTGGAAATATAGAAAATATTCAAATAAAAGAAAAGGCCAAATTTCCTCAACATTTCTTCCCAGAGGTAAGTGAAAAGAGGAGGTGTCCTCAAAGGTTTCAGAATTTATTTTGCACAGTAGATTTTACAGTGCATCCAGGGTTTAAAAAAAATCTCATTATTGGATATTGGAAATTTCAGTTAATGGAAGGAATTGTCTTTGAAAAAGACTGTCGTCATTTCCACATTCTTCAGCAACATTGTTGGTTCATGGCTGAAGCCTTCTTGAACATTTCATTTTCTTAGTTGCACATCAAAAGAAGGGATTGATGGGCACTTGTGCGTGAAGCTATTGCTGTTTTACATCCTCCAAAGAGTAATAACACTGATAAGGGCCTTGTTTATGTTGAGGGAGTGATCAAGCCCATGTGAGATGGAGAAGATGTCAGACTACCGGGGCCCCTGTGTAGTACACTCCCAGGTTGTGGTCGGGGGATATCACGTGGTGCAAGTGTTTCATACTTCCTGCTGCCCAACACAAAAACAGTTTTATACTTGTGGCTTGAAGCATTGCAAAGTTTTTTAGACCAGCACATAATATTGTGGGATTGGCATGCTTCTTCACCTGACCTGCACCACATTCCAGTAAGAGATGTTAGCACCACGACTGTCGTAAGTCATTGTTAACGAATGGGAGTTCTCGACTAAGCGCTACGATTGCTTTGTGGAAGAGCTCCTCCCTGTAGCTTAAAGAACTCATTGCTTTAAGGGATCGGTGTTGTAGCATAGTGGTCAAGGTGTTCACTCATCATTCCAAACACCCAGGTTCGTGTCCACGTTCCTGTCCAGGTTTATGCAAATATAATCATGTTCGAGATGATCCATGTAAAATATTATCAATACTCATTGAAGAATCTAGCTACTTGATCACAAGCGGTGTTGTACGACCATATAAGTATGATGACGTCATTATGGTTGATGGGATGTTATTTGCTTGTCATGTCACATGACCCTGTTGACATTTCCCCATGCTGGAAGTCTTATGACAGCCACGCGATAGATTTAGTTGTCACACAAATATTTGACTGAAACATGTCTAATGTTTGTTTGTTTGTTGTTTAATGCCGCACTCAGCAATATTCCTGCTATATTACGGCGAATTGTAAATAATCGAGTCTGGACCAAACAATCCAGTGATAGACATCATGAGCATCAATCCAAGCAATTTGGATACGATGACATGCATCAACCAAGCCAGTGAGCCTGACCACCCGATCCCATTAGTCGCCTCTTACAACAAACATAGTCGCCTTTTACGGCAAGCATGGGTTGCTGAAGAACTTTTCTACTCCGGATTTTCACGGGTCGAAATATGTCTGATGTAACTTGTTAACTCGTAATATGATTGTTACATGTGTCTCTAGCCCGATGAACAGGATATTTTGAAATGAATGTTGTACACCCCTCACACACAACACACACGCATAAATAATCGAGTTTGGAAGAGACAAACTAGTGATAGATGTTATGAGCTACGTTTTATGAATCTACCAAGGGGTTATGGGGAGTCTACCCAAATGTTGTTGGGAATTTACCAAGGTTGGCAGAGAATTCATTCGGCCACATCCTCATGAGACCTGTTTCTTGATTGGTTCAAAATAGAATGGGCAGGGTTCGTGTTGCCTAATGGCACTGAACGAAGTCGCTTATTTCGTACTGTAATCTGTAAAATAATAAATATTGTTGATGTATTTAACTTTTTTATTCTTTTGTGTTTATTGAGGTGAAAACCAGTGTGCACATTCTGCAAATTGACACAGTGTGTGCTTTGGTTTTTATGTTATACCTCCATAAACTCAAAAAATATTGAAGTCGGCTCTTAAGAGAAATCCAGTCATGGTTGCGGTATACAGAATTGGCAGACTGATGTGATTGAGGAATTGATTTGACATAAAACACTTGAGTGTTCCACTGTGTCCAGTGGATTGATACTGTGATCAAGTGAATATTGATTGGCTGACAGCTGGGGACCAGGTAGCAGACATATAGGAAGTGGATAAATAAGCTGATTTATCATAGAATGGGCAGGGTGATCGGTAGGATAATGACAATGGATAAAATCAGTATCCGTTTTGGGGTCATTTATGGATAATTATGCAAATATATAAGGTCAGGTGGATACTACCTTCAGCTGACCCTGACAAACATGGCCCCACCCTTGGCTATCACCGATCTAATTACACTTGACGATCGGAGTTCTGGACAAATTACTGTGACAATTATCATCATTATCAAAATAATAGTCTGACATACTGTGAAAGGCGATCACTGACATTAAATAAATTATGTGTAGGCAATTTTGTGTGTGATTGCTTCTGTGGTGTAGTGGTTAGAGTGTCTGCCCAGAAAGCGGAAGGTTGGGTTTTTTATTTTCGGCTGAGTCATACCAAAGACATTACAAATATTTAACTTGTTATTTTGTCTGGTGCTTGGCATTTAGGAGATAAAACATTAGGAGCCTGGTTGTCAGTACGCTGTGTCTGAATGGGTTGTCTATGTTAAACAGTTGCATGACGTCTCAGTATGCTAGCACTAGTAGCAGTATAAAACTGGCATTAGTCTGGACTAGTACAAGCAGCCACACACACAGGGGTGCTATAATCTTGAATGTGACATTAAACCCCATTTCACCCAACCTCACCTTTTTGCCTACCGTATTTTCTTGAGTATAGTGCGCACTTTTTTTCGAAAAAATACAGCTAAGTAGAAGGGGGTGCGCATTATACACGAATTATGAGTTTGGATGTTTTTTTCCCCCATGGAAAGACATTACCGTGAGCACGAAACACCGGAAATACCATGTCAACAAATCCATACTGAAGTACGCAAAATAATTATGTAATTGCACTGTCTGGCTATAAAAGTGTTCTTTGTATATCTGGACTTATGTTTGTAACTTATTTCATTGATTTTATTCAAAATTCCTTATAATATTGTTTTTATTAATTTCGGCGAAATCGTGTGTGAAGCGATCGGAAGATCGCACAACTCACCGTTATTAACAGCAACCACGGTCAGAATACCGCCATTGACGCCTTGAAACAAACTTTAGTTGACAGAGAATGGATACATATATCATAAATGACATACTTTGACTCGTTAAAAGTCATATTTGTTTTTGTTTGACGATTCTATGTCAACATGAAATTCTCGCGATCACGTGATCACGTGCGCGTGAGCCTTGACGGTGACTGGTCAGACATGTTCCATGTAAAAAATAATACCCGGGAATAGCGATCGGCTGCTTCGCTTAGGGTCATTATTATTTTAAATATGTTTAGTAAGGTTGCATGTAATTAAGAAAATAATGGAATATATTATTCCTGATAAATAAAATAGTTTCAGATACAATTGTTGCCGATCCTTGCATTAAAAATCTTATAAAGTTATATCATTGGGTGTGTCTTGACCGAATCACCGGTCGATTCCAAGAAAACGTGTGTACAGCTGATTGCTGTTTCCAGCTTAGTTTACGAGAAAATACGCAAGGTAATCTTAATCCCTAAATATAAAACAATGCCTAGCAGAACAATAAATACTATTTAAACAGTAAATAAACATGTCTGGTGATTTTTTATCTCAAATTTCGAATTTGTACTGACGAAGTTTCTCAGCACCCGTTCGTTTGCCGGACTTCGCTGAAAGGGTACGGTGTAAAACAATTCTGCGCATAATATTCAAATTTCTTTTTTTCTCCAAAATATTGAACCCGCTAGAGGGGGGTGCGCATTATACATGGGTGCGCACTATACTCAAGAAAATACGGTATGTTGCAAATATGCCACTGTCTGAAGCACAAGTTTCTCTTTAAACAATATTGACTGTTGTCACTATCCTTCTGACTAGTCACAGACATTGTTACATAATATATCAATGTGCACATTTCAGAAATACTTGCAAGGTTTAAATATCGTCTCTAAGAAACATGTCAACCTTTTTTAGAATTGATACATATATGATATATATGATACAGAGGTTATCAGGCTTGTTTGTTGTTGGGATAGTAAATATCCTATATTAGCAATAACGCTATGTATTTAACTCCCCATGATGTACAACAATAAATACAAAGAATACAATGTTTAATGTTCATTCAGGATCATTTGCCATCCCAAAACACACTCATGTGATAACCTCTATGTATGAAATACTGCTACACGTCAGTGGGGTGTAGAGAGTGCTGACTGACTGGACAAATCCTTTTAATTGAATAACTTGTGAATCGGTCTGATTCATTTTCTGAAAGGTAGCGTTGGCCAGAAGGTAGTGTATTTGCCAGTCAACAGAAAACCTAGCTTGACAATAATTACTTCACAGACTGGCTGTTTATTCATTAGGGGGCACGGGTGGCCCAGTCGTCTGAGGCGCCGCGATTCGCTGTGCAGAGTTGCGTCCCTTGGGCACGCCAGAAACCTATGATTGTGGGTTCGAATCCCGGTTTGCCCCGATTAAGTTTCTAGGTTTTTCAGCACCATACCCGTGGTAAACGTCTGAGACCTGCATCACTTCGGTCTTTCCTCCCACATTAAGCTGACACGCCATGATATAACTGGAATACTGTTAAAAGCGGCGTTAAACCAAACTCACTAACTCACTATTTATTCATTAACACAAATTATTTCGCAGAGAACAGTATGACTATATGCGACTTCGTTCAGCACCATAACACAACACAACCCCGCCCATTCTAACATGAACCAACCAAGAAACGGAGGTCTGCAAGTGGGCGTGGCATAATAGATTCTCGGCAATACCTTGGTAGATTCCCAACAACATTCGGGTAGACTCCCTGTAACCCCTTCGTAGATTCTTGACACTACTCTGCCTAGTGCGAATTCCAACACCCTCATGATGCATGATGCGAGTGAGGCGACTATATCGATCAGATGGTCAGGTGTGGTTAATTGGTTTATTGCGTGTCTGTAATACGCCATGTCGGAATGCCAGCAACCTATGCTATGCTTGTTGTGTGAGGCAACTATATTGATCAGATGGTCAGGTGTGGTGACTTAGTATAGTGCATGTCA